CCGCAGGCGCGATCAAGTCTTGAGCCAACATAAGTTGGCATGTCATGACTCACCTAAGTGATCACAGGAAAGTGTATTTTTAACACATACATACATACATACATACATATACACACATATATATGTATATGCATATTTTTTCTTTCACAGTCGCGCAACATGCTCATCGCTTCGTCGCGGATCGCCGTTTCGTCTGCTTATCATCTCTTTTGACGCGTCTTCTTTTTTCGGCGCTAATATTATCTCACTTAGATTCAGGTTAAACTACACATGTGAGTTCTCCGGTCCTTTAATTGCCGATTTGGGGATTAGGGCTCTTGGGATGTAAGGCTTTAGGGTCAAACTGCGCCCCGAAGGTCGTTCCGAAGTCGCAGCTGACATGACCCAGCCCTCCTGTGTACAGACTCAGGGCCCGCCCAAGCGGCCACGGAAGTTCTGGGGTGTCTGGGGCCGAGATTTTGGTCAGACAGCCTTCAGAGATGGCTATGACATTGATTTGGAGGACAGTCCTCCAGTAGTTGAGTAGCAGGAAATCTGATAAACCTTAGCCATTATCAAGACACAGGGTATGTGTGCTGGTCCTGGCATGACGACTGCCCCCATCAGTATTCCTGCAATCTCTACTTGCCAGGAGTCACGTAAAGGACTTGTGGCGGAGACACTTAGATTCCATTGAGCAGTTTCAAGACGCAATTCCCTAGATAGATTGAATCTCTTAGACAAGCTCCTTACCGCAGATGAAGTATCCTACCACGTTGCTTTGTGATGGACGTATGGAACTGCAGCGGATTCAGCTTTGACCTTTGTCATGCGCTCGCGCTCCAGCCAGGCATGAAAAGGGTTACCACTATCACTAGATGGTGCTGTGATGAGCAGAGGGCAGTCATGACTGTTGCCACGCATATTGCAAACAGAAATCTGTGTTGCACAAATCCGAAGTCCAGTACGTAAGTTGGAGTTTGAGGGCTCCATAATCTCAGAGAAAGTTGAAGGACAATTCCTGTCAGCGCTGCAGCCCAGGCCCGTCCCTGGATGATTGATGTCGTTGCAGACGGGCGGCATCAAAGGCTATGGCTCCAAAGCTGTCATCAACTCAGCAGACAGAAGCTAGGAAGGAGCAAGGGACTTGAATGCTGTTTGTTAAGGAACAGTATCCCTCATATAATGGAGAATCAAATGGAAAAGGAAATGGAAGATTAAATGGAAACTGGGGTAATATAAGGGATCTATCTGCTCATAGGTGTCACGTAGCCTTCAGCGCGGTGCCTAGAACTTGCCTTTTTTCAATTAAGCGATGAGCCCGTTGATGCATTACTTACAAGGGGCACAGGGGGACGAATCACAGAGCATGTGTCACGGCACCCTTTGCAAAATCCATGTTGTGGATCAACGTGACGCTCACATCTGTGGGGAATCCTGCGAGGCTGAAGTTTTCGACCAGCTCCACGTGCAGGATCCTTAGGAAGGGCCTTTTCACCTAAGCGACTTCAGACAAGTATTGTTGGATCTTGAAGCACATGCTTGGGCGCAAGTGGTGGGCGTGCTGCCAGAGAGTATGACAGCCGCCTACCTAGGTTTGAGAGGGTGTTGCCTTTACCTGTTCATAAGGCGTGCAGCCTCCGGTGAAGAAGTTAAGACATCCTTGCGCTTGTGACGGAGGTGATAACACGGCCCCAGGAAGCTTGTTTCCGACGTTGTTAACTTAGCGGCTCACGCGTGATGCATGATGCGGCGCAGCATGCGTTACGTGTGTGGCCGGCATTTCAGCCTCCGAGCGACCCTGAGCAGCTAAAGGGCCTGAGGAGAGGAGCAGCATGTATCACAGCAAAGCCGAGCCGATTCCACAGGAGGCAAAGCTAAGGCTAAGGTGTGTCGCCATGGACCATGAATGAAGCGCTCAATCCAACACCAAGAGGGAAGAAATCTGACGACGCGGCCTTTGCGCCAAACACATCAACTGCGGCTAGCGCCCTGAGAGTTCGAGACCCCCTTTGCAGACGAACGCTGCTACTGTGTGTGCTGCATTTGTTGACTTTCACAGTCTACCGCTTGATTTGGGAGGCCTATGGAGCGGACTGCACTTGCAAAGCCGGGCCTCACCGTGTAAAAGGGTTTGCAGCCAGGTTTGTTGCAAAGAAGCTCCTTTGTCCGTTGTTTGCCTGTGCTTTTTGCAAAACATTTTTTGAGGAAGGCCTTCGACTAGATGCCTAGAGATCCACGTGCTGGCCCGTCATCGAAGCCCGTCTTACAAGCTGTGATTGCTGCTGAGCTATTCTGGAGGAAGGCGGGGAAGCTTGTGGGAGATTGGGGAGGTTGACTGACAGCCGCGGGGGCCGTCCATTCCCCGACTCCCATCTCAGCATGAATTACAAAAACAACACGACTCCCGAACAGCCCCGCTGTTGCGATCTCCTCCCGGGAAACCTGGCAGAGGCCAGTTTGTCGCGTGCTGTTGATGCCACGCGTATGAAGCCCCAAGCCTGAACCCTGCACCTTGCTTCAAGTTCTTTGAGGTCGCCGTCTAGGGCTGTCCAGGATTTGCAGCTTCAACAAGAATCAGCGTATATAGCGGGACAGCTGTCTGTACTCTTCGCAGTTGCTGGCTGAATTTACTTTCCGGGCTATTCGGGTCTGCATCTTTAACTGTTGTGTGACCGGTATTTGGGAGAAGACCTTGCGATAAGATGTGTTGCCCGGGTGTTCCAAATGTGCCCTTGACATCATGAATGCTGCGCTTCCAAGTCTAGCGTTCTCATAACATTGGGATGTCATGTTGTATGGTGCATTGTGTCGAGAAGATAATGGGCAGAACATTTCTCAGCGATCGGCTACGATGTTTCAAGGTTTCTCAACATCGTGGGTTCTTTTGGATACCTGAATAGATTTCGGAAACTATTTGTTTTGTGCGCTCGTACGGCGATGGTCCCCCAAACGATGGGAAACTAATCACACATACACTTGGCGCATGTTGGTTTTTTGGAGTTCCTTTGCCTCCAGGCCTGGACCTGAGAAGATGCACTTTTTGTCCCCAGAGCAGAAGGTGGGCTGCCTAGTAGCATGTCACAAGGCTCGCTGCGAGCAGAGGACACCTGAGGCTTGCGGAAAGTATGTGAGAGTTCCTGGTGGTGAGGGGAGAGTGGGCATGGACTTGTAAACCCCATGTTCACAACATCGCAGCTCTTTGGCCCTCCAAGCAATACCGGCAAGGGGAGGTCTTCCGAAAGAAGCCATGACGCCCAACGGGCCCCAAGATCCAAGGGAGATAGAGTCGGCTTCTGCCCCTCTGGCAGGTCGAAACCCCGAAGTCCCGCAGGTTCGCAGATTCCCACATCGCTACTGGATCTTCGGCCTGCTGGGTTTGGGTTTTCTTGCGGCTGCCTGGTGTTATTTTGCGCGCGAAGCATCTGAGGTTCGGGGGGGAATCCATGGTAGGCTCATGCAACCCGAGAGATTAAGGCTTGAGGGTTTTGAGTGCGGGCTGGGGAGACTTGAAAGACCTGAAGGAGTGGAGGAAGAGTGCGTCTGTGAACGCTGTGGCGGACATGGCTGATGTGCAGCTCAAGGATGACGTCAACCAGCTGGGTGCATGGTAAAAACCTGGGCAGGAGTCTGCCAAGATTGCTGGATACGAGAACTACGTGAGCTTGGTCTGCACGGAGGCCACCATGGCCACAGATGAGACATGCAGCAAAGCCCTGGAAGGCATCACGAGCGCATGCAACAACGCCGGCCAGCACAACTGCATCGTCCACTTACCACGCCTGCGGATGTACATCTTCCAGGCTGGCGACTTCTGACATTTGTCAGAAATTCGTCCTTGCGCCAATCTCTCCTCCCCTCCTGACAATCTCAGCCTCCTTTCCGCCTTCGGTTTTAGGCACATGTCAGGTTTTACTACATGGAAAGTAGCAAGACTGCAAGGGGACTGCGAGCAAGAACGTTCTGTCTCAAGTCTCAGCCACGGCATGTGAGGTTCAACCGTTCCTTCCATGTAAGTGCTAGTTTGGCTGCTATCATGACTGGGTCCTACAATTCTTGCCATACTTCTTGCAGCGTTGTCGTCACTAGTACTTTCTTGGCACGGCATATTTCTGATTTGTGGTCTTATTTGATGTTCCCTGCTCCGGCAGGCCAACAGCCACGAGGAAGTCGTGGAGAAGCTGCCAGATATTGGGGGCTGCTGTAGCACTTTGGCAGTCAACATGGAGGTCACTGGCGGGGTTCAGGGTTTAGGGCTTTCTGCAGATTCTAAAAGGCTGTTCTTTTGGGCACATGTCGTCGGGCTTCAAAAGAGATTAGTTCCAGAGGTTAAGCTCTTTGACAACACCCGCGTCGACTTGTCGTTCTGGTGGCTGAATCCATTTTTATGGCCCTTTTGGTGGTGGTTCTACTTGTTTCCCCCTACGCCGCCTCCTCCGCCTCCACCCCCACCCGGGTGTCCGAGCAGACGCCCAGATTACAGCTTGGATCGTTTGATGCGCCCGCCGAGCTCGCCACCCTTCGAATACTACCCGAGCAACTTGGGGGCGTCAGCTTTGGTTTTTGTCATCGACAGCGGCATCAAGTCCGAGCATGAGGCGTTTGGAGCAATTTCAGGCACCCTGCAAGAAGGTTCAAGCAGGGTGCTGGCAAGGTATGAGACACTTTTTAAACCACCCGGGATCGACAACATACATGGCACTCACTGTGCCGGGACTATTGCAGGCTTGAACTACGGAGTTGCAAAGGGCACTTTCCTCATGGACGTCCAAGCCTTTGGGGCGGCTGATAGCACGCCTTTCGCAGCGATCCTGGATGGCATGGAGTATGTCTTGCGTACTTGTGATGCTACAGGTTCCAACACAGGGGAGGACGGGGTGCGCCGACGCTGCGTGGTGAGCATGTCACTGGGCGGTGGCAGCAGCGCGAGTATCGACCAAGCTGTGGCCAGCCTTGTGGCACAAAACATCGTGGTGGTGACGGCCGCCGGCAACGAGAACCAGAATCTGGGTTGCCGTTAAGGAGCTTAAATTCAATTGCCATAATGGGAATATATAGTAGTTATTATGGTCTCTCCAAGATAGTGACTTCAATTAAGTTCCTTAACAGCAACCCAGGAATGCAGCAGGCAGGTCACCCGGAGGAGCGCCAGACGCCATCAACGTGGGCTCCATGGGCGTGTCGTCCTCCACGGACTATGTGGCCTCCTATTCCAACTGGGGTCCGGCTGTGGATATCTTTGTGCTTTAGCGGAACTTTAGCGAAGTTTGTGAAAAGCGTGTTTGTGATGTTTGTGAGGGTGAACTTGAGATTGGAGATGATTGGAGTCAGCAGCGCAGTATGGTGGTCATGCGCTCCATTGCTTTCAGGCTAGTTAATCCTCAGGTGACTTTTTCAACAGGAGAGGACACATTTTCTGCTGGGGTTGGAGCAAGCGAGGCACCCGGGGAGAGCATTCTATCAGCGAACGGTGACACGACGAACGGCTACATCCGGCTCAGCGGCACGTCGATGGCCTGTCCTCATGTGGCTGGTGTGGTCTCCGCTGACCCAGGACTATCGGCTTTTTGTGGGGGTTTCTTAACCACGAACAGATTGCCACCGCAGGACTCCAGCATCCCGGCCCAGGACATGAAGACGACCCTCCTGCGCTTGGCCAAAGAAAGGATCACGGTTCCCGCCTCTCAAAGCTCCTTCGAGTGCACTTTCGCCGTGCTCCAGGCGCCAAATAATCCTTCAAACCAGAAACGCCCTGTAACCCTAAATCCTGAAGTGCGAAACGCAAGGGCGCGGTGAAGCAAAGTGCAAACACTGCAGGCACCCAAGGCCGACAGGTCTTTCCTGGACGGCGAGACGGGGCAAACTTGTGCAGATGACTTCAGCGTTCCGGTGGACTTGGTGACCCCTCCACTGGCTTCTCCGTGCGGTTGCGAGACGTTTGCCGTTTGTGAGGCAGAGACTTTCATTTTGGGAGCTCAATCGGCTGCGCCTGCTGCGCCTATGCCAAAGAGCCCGGGGGCTTCGAAGATTTCGAGGCCCCCCGCAGCTCCCATGGTCCAGGACCTTGTCAAGCTCAACTCGGCCGGGGCCGAGAAGAAGTTCGACTTCCACTTGAAACCCATCGCCAGCAGGCTGCTGGAGGGGCTTCAACTTTTGTTGCAGTAGACGCAGAGTGATGGGGGGCTAAACCACAACCCTACTTCTACCATGAAGAATTGATATTTGGATTCCAATTGCCATTACTACTTTTATTACTCTTAAAACTATTTCTATGAGGCTGGAGGAGCTGATTCAGCAGGCTTCGCCAGGCGGTTTGGAAGGGCGCCTGGGTGAGAAGGCGAAGGACTTGGGCATCCGAGGCACCTTGGACTATGGCATGGTCATGGCCCAGGAGCTTGGGGCTTACGTGCAGACTCTCTACTCCATGGCCAGTGAAGCAAGCAAAGCAAGCAAAAAGGAGGCCACGGAGGTCATGAAGACGGTAGTCGAGCATTTGGAGATCTTGGGGAAGCTGATGCCGCGAGCCCTCGGAAGCCTTGAGGCTGCAATGGGCCCTGAGCTTCCCACGTTGGGGGTCCTGCCCAAGGCTGTGGAGGGAGCATTGGAGGAGACCTCGAGATTCTCCTTTTCAGTTTGGGGCTCGGCCTTGAAGCTGGAAGTGAACCAGACTCGGTCGCTCCAAGACTTGACGACGCAGATTCAAGCATTACAACAATGGCACAGCCTCGGTCTCCAAGCTTTAGAGGCCATTGAAGTCAAAGCTTCGGATACCCCTCCTGAAATCTTCAAGGCCTTGGTCTTCCAGCTAATCCAAGGGCTCAAGGCCTTTCAGCAGGCGACCAAACGTGTCGCACAACCCTTGGTGAAGGACGACGCCAAGCTTAAACCTCGCGCAAGACCAAATGAAGGTCATCACTTTGTCCTGCAATTCTCCGATTGCTGGGAGCACTGTTGCAGGATTTGCAGGGAATCTACCTGCCTGTCCCACACCCATGACACAGCCGGGCGTGCTGTACCAGCTTAGTTTGCACAGTGAAGTACGTTCAGTGAAGCTCTCCACGTGCTACCCTGGCACAAGCTACGACACGGTGCTCTCCGTGTACAGCTCGGACCAGTGCCTGGCAGGCAACGATGACACCGGCAATGGCCTTTGCTCCACCGTCAGCTTCAACACCAGGGCATCCAACTACCACGTGCTGGTCCATGGCTTTGGCGCCGGTGACTTCAAGCTCACGGCCGACTGCTCGAAGGAAGAGCTGAGGTGGGCCAGTCAGACTAAAAGTTATCTGTCTCGCAGCTTAGTCAATACTGCTGGATTTGCAGATGTCTACGTGTAGCGCAGTGCTTCTGACGAGGTGCAGCTGCCGCAACGGCCATGCCGCCACCGGGGATGAATGCACGGACAGCCCCGGGGAAGTCTGCAAGACCTGCAACGATGGCTACTTCCTTGTCGGGAAGCTTTGCAAACCCTGCAAGTTGCTCAAGGGCTACATGGGTGCCACACCGGAATGTTCCGCTTTGATCTCGAACAGCCATCTCCCCCAAACCACAGCACAGGGGCCACAAGTGCCCGAGCGCGCGGCTTGGGCCTTGGCTGGTGGCATGGCAATCCTGGCAGCAGCGGCTATCGTGGCTGCAGTGGCTTTCGCCTTGAGAAGTATGAAGGCCCTGAACAGCCGCTCCGTTCCCGGCCGTGGGCCTGCGTCTTACCAGGCCTGTGGTAGCTTGAAGTCTGAAAACATGGCTAATCTCCTCCCATCAAGTCTTGGTCTTTCTTCTGCTTTCCTTTCTGCGAGGAGATTCCGGAATTGCCACAGGCAAGCTGAAGAGCTGAAGAGAAAGCCGGCTTGGGGCACCTGTTCCCCTAAATGGCATGCAATCCATAATCATTGATTAACAGATGTTGCATCGTCCCTTGAATGATGAGTTTCTGTACAGTTAGAAATACCCTCCTGCGCATCAACGTGTCCGTGGGAAGGTTCCTACAGAGATACAAGTAGTGAGGCCATTCCTTTGGACATCGCCATATGTAGACTATGCGCATCCTTGTGTTCCTATTTGGGGCTGTCAAAAGTAAGAAGCGGTGCACCCAGTTGACGGGAAGGCCTGCAGGGTGATATTTCCTGTTGGCTTGCTTGGCAAGCTTCACGGGAATTCTCCTTGCTTGAAGCACTGGCAAAGAGGTGTGCCTAGAGCGCAGGTTTCTGGTGCCCAGGCTGACAATGCTGCTATAGGAGCATGGTAGGGGTATATGGGATACCAAAATAGTAAGGTTATATCAGGGATATACACATATATACATACATATATATATATATTTGTATGTGTGTGTAAGGGAATACTGGAACACAAAATGCAAATTCCTACATTGCTGTTTATAAAGATGCTCAGGACTTGCCTGAATGATCCTTGAGGAGACCATAGTCGTCTTTAAACCAATAAAATCTGAGATCATGGGGATCCCATTCTAAAATTGGGTAATTCCGAACCGTCGGTGCATCCTGGAATGACAGCTCAGCCCCCTAGGAAGTGAGGTTTGACAGACAGGGCTCAAAGTCTAGGCATGTCATGATTCGGCATGAGTCGCATATCCGAAGGTGGCAGCGAAAGGCGTCTGCTACTTGCATGCGCGCATGTCTCAAAGGCTTCGAAAGCAAACTGCTGCTCAGCGCGTTCTGCCTGGCTTTCTTGACCCGTCAGCCCTGCAGACTGGATTGTGATGTGAAAGTAGAGCTACTTGACAATAGACATGAAGATAATCACAACAATAAAAATGGTAAGAGTACTTGATAGTTATAGCGTTAGTACTTCGAATCAGCACGACAATCAAGCCAGGTGCACGGCGCGTGCTTCCATTGCTCATCTGCCTACCACTTCGGTGTGTTCAGTTTTAGGCGAGCCGCAGGTTGCAGTATTGGGCCAGTGCAGTTTATGGGATGCTGGTAGATTGTTTTCATCGATCAACTCAGGCCCCGGAGATTCCTTTTGCAAGCGATTCCTGCTGCCGCAGGCCATCGACCTGTGTTCCCTATGCAGGCAGTGCCACCCTCAAGCCGTGGGAGCTTTGAAGCGTTTGCATTAAGCCGGACATAGTTTCGGTGCTTTCAACCGTGGCACCATCGGCACTGATGAATACATGCACATTGTGTTTCACCTCTGCAGCATGCTCAGCCTGCAGCGCAAGACTGAGGCTGACGGATTCATATCATTCCGCACTTACCTTTACTACTTTATTTGCTCGTTGTTAACATTCTAGTGCTGGTGGCCTACCTGCATCCTCAAGGGGCACTGTTGCTTCTGTCGCTGCTGATTCCTGGGTGCAAGGCCCAGTCCGCGCGGGCGAAACTGGCAGGCAGTTCCAAAGATGTCCACTATGTCTATGAAGCAGCCTTGAGCCAGTTGCAAATTGAACTTTGAATATGATATAAACCGCATGTGTTGGTAAGCTTCTTTGCATTGCTACAGATTTCTTTGATACTTGTTGGACCTGTGGTGTCCGTGTTGCCGTTGGTCGCTTTGTAGAAGCCTCTCAGCCAGGCTTGGGTAGAATTAAGCTGCTGGCAAAAAAGAGCTCTGACAAACCAATCTGGATAATCTCTTCTGCTATCTATCAAGCTCCTTACCTATGAAACCACATAACAGAGACTCCATAAGTCTGAAATATTAGCATCAAAAGTACCAAGACGACTGTCACAGGGGCCACCTAGGATGGCCTTAATGATGAATTGAGGCAGGGGCAGTTTTAACTGAAGTTTTTTGAGGGGATTAAGGATCTAAACAAAGTCCAATTGGTTTTTGGCATCTCCGGAGTTGCCCCGAGGTCTCATATTCGTGTACGGCTATAAGAAGGTGGAATTCATATAAGGGGATCAAATTGAATGAAAATAACAACAAAATCTAGGTATCTTCCTTTTGTCCTTTACAAGGTAGAGCCCGGCTTACACAACTGGTGGGCAGCTTGCAGAACAGTGATATGGCGTGGCCAAAGCTAAGGCACCCGAGTGTATCCCTAAGGTCCAGTGGACTCACTTACTATGACAAACCAAAAAGCCACCCAGAGGGAGTTGGGCTTTAAATTCTTGAGGTCTGCTGGTCGTTGCTTCCATCTTTGCATGACTCACGGTGACAGGGTGGGGGGGGAGATTCGGGTAGATACCTTGACTTGTATCCACCATGGTGCGCTCAACCTTTTTGGCTTGCCTGCGAGCTCTTCACATGCCTTACTGCTCCATGGGGGAGCCTCATCATAATTCCTACGGTCCTACAGCATCCCCTCAGATTAGTACTAAAATTCCCTTCTGCACCCCCCCCCCCTGAGCACCAACAAGATGTCCGTAGGTTGAGATGTCATTTCCGACGTCAGTCAGCTCCAAGGCAAGGGCTTCGGAGTGTTTAGGGTTAAGGGGCACAGTTGAGCTTTCCTGTTTCTACATAGTCTGTGCCAGCCTCCGCAAGTCCAATGAGAAAGGTGTCCGAAGCCGCGCACGCAAGTCCGTTCAATCGAGCCAGTCCTTTGACCTGGTGCGACCTGTTTGGAACACAGGCTCTTGGCCAGATTCTTGAGAAGAAAACACTGAATGACGAACCTTCCGTGTCCAAACGCCCAAAGGAGGAACCCTCGTAAGTAGTCTGAGCTATTCCCAACAAGACCGCGAAGGGAGTCCCTCACTGCGTAGATATTAGAAAATATTTTTGGACACTTATGCATGCTGCCCCGCCATGCCGGAGCATTTGAAGTGCAACAGCTAGGGTAATGTTCAGAGGTTTCATCCTGGTATCTGGCACCTTGTTCTGCGGGCTTGGTGCCGCAAGGGGCTCCAAGTGAAGCGCTGAGTCGTCTTTGATCCTGATTTAGGGCATGGCTGGGAGCTTTGAGGCTTCAGTATGATGTGCCAGGAGAAAGTCTTCATCGCTTTGTGGACAGAGGCACTGGTGTGAAGGGTCCAAGTCATTGTTTTGCACGCCGATGCTGTCATTGCGTTCAAGGAATCCTAAGAGAGGTTCGGGCCAATCCTGCACTTCGAATCCAGCACGCATTGCCTTGCAAGCGCTGTCTGATACCGGCGCCGCTTGCTGAGGCCAGGAGATGTTCACACTGAAGAGCACGGTGCGGTGTGTGGTGTGGGGACGGTGGCGTTCTTAGCGTGTGGCTAGTCATGTGCACTCAGCACAGCGGCAAGCACTTCAAGTGTTGCCGGAGCGTTCCGTTTATATCTACTTGATCTTGTAATCCCTTCCCCCTAATATTAAATCCACCCTATAATATTAAATAATACATTCATTGAATATTAGGGGGAAGTGATTAATTGAGTCCTTCTCCACGCAGCGCAACTCTTGGCACCTATGAGCTGCGCTCTGGCATTGTAAATCTGATCAGGTGATTGTTCAACTTTTGGCGATTTCTCTGCTTGTGTTTTGGTGTCTTGTTTGCTTGTTCATCTTGTTGTTTGTTGTTCATCCTTTAGGTTTGTGACATATACTCCG